ACAAATTCTAGCCAGTCTAAACAATTTAATGATTCTGCCTCAAAAATGAAAACGAGTACAGAACTGGCCACATAAGTTGGTGTTAGAAAGCTTACATAGCCTGTTACCCACTGCAGGGCTGCCAAGAAGATGCGATCCTCATACCTAAGCCTCCCAAGTTCTAGGATTACAGACGTGCACCACCACGCCCAGTTGTTTATTTTGTTTTGAATTCAAAAAAACTTTTACTTGAAGTGTTCTGAATCTACGTTCCTATAAATTTGACCTCGGCTTTGCCCCCTGCTGGTGGCCCGGCGCTTAGCAGGAAAACCAATGAACTATTCCGGAAAGTGGAGGCTGCCGACTCAGTGTCATTTACATCACCCACAATGCATTGCACAGGATGTATTTCTTGAATTAAAATGGGCGCCTTTTTCTTTCTCTTTTCGCTTTTTTTCCCCTTCAAGTTGAATCTACTTTCACAGAGTTGTCTTATAAGAAAGGACAAAGCATCGATTCGTTCGGGCAAATAGTTACCATTGGTGTTATAGTAGTTACAGTTATTGGAGAATTGTGTCGCCGTTAATACTTGTTATACTCTGGTTTCTCTTCAGATCGTATAAATCTTTCGCCTTTTACTAAAGATTTCCGTGGAGAGGAACAATTCTGAGTCTTAACCCAATTTTTTGAGGCCTTGTGTTAACAAGGCTATCATCGATGTTAAAAAGTAAGGTTTCATTTATTACTTGCTTGGAACGAGAAGTCTCTTTTCAAGCAATAAACGAGTTGTTGGGTTTTATTGCTAATGGACCATGTAATTTTATGCATGTGTAAGATTTGTAACTAATTTATTGATAAGGTACCCTAATTATAATGGTAGGTAGAAAAGGTACTTTCGAATGTGTAATGCTTTTTTTTGGGGGGAGAGAAAACTATTTGGTGTTTAGTTAACTAGGCTTGTTTTCCAATTGTAAATTACTATTCATAAAAATCTTCATTGTCATTGTGCAGACGTGGTGAAATTCTTACTAACATTGCAGTGATGTTTATATCATTACAGTTCTTCTGTATGTAAAATAAAAGGACAGTCGATTACACACAGTTTGCTGGAGCTGGAAGTTTGTATGGTTCGTTCTATTAAAACAAAAGTAGTTAGTGGGGCTGGTGAGATGGCTCAGTGGTCTAAAGCACCTATTTAGAACAAGGTTAGCAGAACACAGGGACCGCGGTTCCATCCCCTCAGCACCACATGCCAGCCAGCCCCGCCCCCTGGTGGGCTGAGCTGGCCACACACACACACAAATAAAATTAAAATAAAAGTTAGTTTCGTCAGAGGGGTGAAGACCACGCTGGGACTGTGGCACTGTGAATTTCTATCTTAATGCGGGGTGTAAAGCATTAATGCAAGTCAAAAATGTTTCAGTGAACAAGTTCCCGCACTTCATTTATATATATATTTTTTATTTTTGCGGTACTGGAGATTGAACTCAGGACCTTGAGCTTGCCGGGCAAGCGGTTATTCTACTGAACTATCTCCCCCACCCAGCATTTCAACTTTATGACAATTACAAATAAAAATCTGAAAAATAAAAATAAAAATCTGCACATTTCTCTGGAAAAAGCCAGTATTTGGATTATTTATTTATTTTCTTCGGAATTGGGGATTGAACTCAGGCCCTAGCGATTGCCGGGCAAGGGCTTATTCTACTGAGCCATCTCCCTGGCCCCAGCATTTGGGTTTTTTAAAAACAAGTAAATTTCTTATTGACAGCAACTAAATGGTGTTTGTAGCATTTTTATTATACAGTTGATTCCGTCCAGTCACTATACTTTTCTAACTGGGTTGTCTTAGTGCTGGTACATGTTTTTAATGTTGTCTGTCTTTCTGTGCTGTTCCTGTAAGTTTGCTATTAAAATACATTAAACTGTAAAAAAAAAAAAAAAGTAAAAATTAGGAGAGGTTACGGTATAAATCATGATTAGCACAAGGTGCCAGTGTTGTTACAAAACAAAGTTAACTTACTGGTTATTTTTGGTGGTTGTGGTGCTGAAACCTAGGATCTCATGCATGCTCCAGGCAGGTGTTTTACTACTGAGGTACACCCCAAGCAATAAAACTAGGGACCTTGCCATGCAGGTGCACATTATGCTACTCAGCTATCTCCCTGGCCCTACCTTAGGTGTTTCTGAGACAGGGTCTTGCTATGAAGTTCAGGCTGGCCTTGAGCTCACTTGTAGCCCAGATGGCCTTGCACACACAATGATACTCCTATTTAGTTGGACAGAAAAGAACCATAATTGGGTTGGGCAAGATGGTAGCCTAGCAGAATGAAAATTGGTGCTTATAAGATGTTTCTCCATCTTTTTTCTTCCTTTCTTTCTTTTAAACATTTATTTATTATTGTGTGTGTGTGTGTGTGGCCAGCTCAGCCCACCAGGGGGCGGGGCTGGCTGGCATGTGGTGCTGGGGGATTGAACCGCGGTCCCTGTGCTTTGCTAAGCTTGTTCTAAGTAGGTGCTTTAGACCACTGAGCCATCTCACCAGCCCTCTTTCGTCTTTTCTCTCTCTCTCTCTCTCTCTCTCTCTCTCTCTCTCTCTCTCTCTCCTTTCTTTCTTTCTTACTTTCTTCTTCTTTCTTCTTTCTTTCTTTTTTGTGGAACTGGGGATTGAACTCAGGCCCTTGCGCTTGCCAGGGAATCACTTATTCTGCTAAGTCATCTTCCCAGCCCTTAGTTTAACTTTTCTTCCTTCCTAACAGAGAAAAACAGGATCAAATCAAGTTTGGCAAAAGCTGGTTTGTCTTAGGCCTATAGTATCAGGGTTTGTGGTGCCTCCTTGTGGCAGCCTGGGGTATTACTGCCATTGATACAGGGGAGTGAAACCCCCGACCTGAAAGATACCTGGGCTCAGTTGGGTTCTCTAAAACCGAAGAGTTAATTTTAGGAACAACAACGGAGGTTAAGAGCAGAATATATTTATTGGGAGAAAGAAATCTCCTGTCCAAGAGAAGGACAGAAGGGGGACCTGAGTGGGTTGCCTTGGAATCTGCAGTTTCTAGGGATTTTTATAGAGCAAACCCATGTGGTAAGGTGATTCTAAGGTGAAAACATGGGAACTCGCACATGAGGTGGGGCAGAACTATGGCCAACCAGTACGGGAACAAGTAAATTGCTCATGTAAAACTAATTAACTTGGGATCAAACGGGGAAGCAAGTCATATAGCAAGAGGACATGAATACAGAATGGGCTCTTCCTGTTGGGGGTTAGGTTAGTGACTCTTTCTGGCTCTTTCAAGAAAATTAAAAAAAAAAGAAAATTGATACCTATTTGGAATATCAATCCCTGATGTCACTCTCTAGGGAAGTATGTGGCTCCATTTGTTTGGTCTTTTGTCTTGAGGTCTGGCCCACAGCTGGAGTGTCTGTCTCTTCCAAAATTGCAAGATCATCTTTTCTTCCATTTTGTCTCCTTGAGGGCCTAGCCCTGTCTGACTGCCTATAATATTTCTGTCTAACTTAGCTGCCTGCAACACCATTTGACTTTGCTTTTTTTGATTTGAGGAATCCCTCAAATAGCTCACTCACATTTTCACATATTGACCCAGTGGAGATTATAGTCCCTTACAGTCTGGTAGATAGACAGAATAAGTAAACATAACTAGAAGGATAATGCTATAAGGATATAGTGGAGTAGGGAGGTTGTCAGTATACAGACTGGTAGTGTCCTCTGTAATTTTTTTTTTTTTTTTTAAGTGTAGCCTTCCCTGTTATCTCAGAACTCTGAGAAGGTGAGGCAGGCTTACAAATTTGCACATATTCTGACATTGGGTGGATACGGAGAAAATTCGCAGGGCCCCTGTGCAAGGAAGAAACACACTCGTGCAGTGTTCCATAGTAAAAAAGAAAAAGGGCTGGCCAAATAGCTCAGTGGATTAAAGTTCCTGCAAGCAGGTGCAGGGGCCGGTGTATGTGTGTGGGGGGCTGGATCTTGGCCAGCTCCGCCCCCTGGGAACACTGAGACTGAGACCCAGTGTGGTGACACGTGCCTGTAATCCCAGCTCTTGGGAGGCTGCAAACAGGTGGATCACTATAAGTCTGATCTAGTAGTGCAACCCTGAACACCCTGTAGACCCTTCCCTAAAATACAAAAAAACAACAACAACAAAAAACAAAAACAAAAACAAAAACAAAATACCCCAAAACCAAAAACCAGGGGCTGGAGAGATGGCTCAGTGGTCTAAAGCACCTACTTGAAACAAGCTTGGCAAAGCACAGGGACCGCGGTTCAATCCCCCAGCACCACATGCCAGCCAGCCCCCCCCCCAGGTGGGCTGAGCTGGCCACACACACACACACACACACACACACACACACACAATAAATGTAAAACAAACAAATAAAAACCAAAAAAACAAAAAACAAAAACCCAGAAAAGAAAAGAAAAAAGTTTGAGTCCAGGCTTAGGAATTTAGTGATTGAAACCTTGTCATAAAGTTTAAAGAAGACTGGAAGTATAACTCATTATGAAGTTTCTGGGTTCAATGCCCAGGGCCCAGGGCCCAGGGAACCCAAAGGCAAGAGCTTGTTTGTTGATTTCAAGAATTTGCCAGGAGCTAGGAGTGGTGGGGTACACTTATAATCCCAGCACTGGGGAGGCTGAAACAGGAAGAGCTGAAACAGGAAGATTGTTGTGAGTTCGAGGTCAACCTGAGCTACACAGTGAGTTCAAGTCCAGTCCAAACTGCAGAGCTGGAACCTGTCTCAAAAAAAATCCAAAACTCTGGATTGTAGTACAGGCTAGCCTTGAACTCAGAGAGATCCTCCTGCCTGTCTACTCTGTCTGGTATTACCGGCATATGCCATCATGCCCAGCTCAGGACCTGCTTTTTAACTTGGTGAACAGAGGGACCTCAGTCATACCCCCAGTTCTCCTTTGATCTCCCTTCCTCCACTGAATGCAGGGCACAGACTGAGAACAAGACTCTTTATTGGACTTCCGGCTCCCTGCTGTCTTTCTGCCCTACTGGGGCTGGGTGCAGCAGCCACAAACTTTTAGCCTGGGCTTTCCTGCCACTCATCCTTTGCCTTGTGGAAGCTGTTACTCCTTTGCGTCTGCGTCCTCCTTCTGAAAGTGGGTGATGTAGACCATCTGTCTGGTATCTCCAGGACCGCAGGAAAGGTTCAAGTTGCTGCTAGAGATGTCATAGAAGTCTAATTCTGCAGCAGAGATAAGGAACATAAGCTGGGGTACTGGGCCCGGGGAGATAGCTCAGTAGAATAAGCACTTGCCTGGCAAGTGCAAGGTCCTGAGTTCAATCCCTGCTACTGAAAAGAAAAAAAAAAAAAAAAAGGCGGGGTACTGGGCTCGCCAGGCTGTAGGTCCTGGCTCTCCCTGCTCACCTTGGGCAACATTGACCTCGTTGACAGCCAGGATGTCCGCCTGAACGCTGTCTATTTTCATGTACAAATCTTCACCATAGTGCTGAGGACAGCGGGGAGGGCAAACAGCCGCGGTTTCAGCTGGCTGCCCTCAGATCGGCCTTGGGCTGCTGGGTCATTATTTTCCCTACTTGGGCAGAGGAGTTCTGCAGGAGATGGCCAGGAAGGGGCCGGGAGGCCAGGGATGGAGAAGCCCAAGCCAGGGCAGCCTCTTCCGTGTGGGTGGCCAGGCCCATTCCGTGTGAGGACTGTGAATGTCCCAGGCAGGGCACGGGCACTTACGAGGAAGAGCTGGTACAGTTCCTGCCCCATGGACCTGCGCACGTGCTCCTCCACCACCGGGAACGTCTGCACGAAGAACTGTGGCGGCGGGGGAGGGGCAGGGAGGTGTGACCAAGCCTCTCCGGTGCCTGCGCCCTTGCAGCCCGCCTTGCAGCCCACGCACCTGCAGCGCCAGGCCTGCCAGCCTCTGGCTGTTGCTGTGGTCCGTGTTGCCCATGGCGGCCATCAGGTTGTGCACCACGCGCAGGCGCAGCATCTCCTCGGCCACGCGCAGACAGCGGCGAGCCAGAACCCTGCGGGGACATAGGGTAGCGCCACCTGTCTCTCTCCATGCTCGCCGCGCCCTGCCCCCGCCAGCGGGCGTCCTGCCGCTCACCCGATGGCTTTGGCGGCTGCTGCCTGTTGCAGGAACTTGGGCGGGTGCGCAGTGAGTTGCAGGAGCGGGTACTCTGAGGAGAGGGCGGCTGTGAGGGAGGTGGGTGCCCTTGTCCCGCCGGGCAGCCCTGGAGAGGGTCCTACCAGTGAGGATCTTGGGCTGCTGTTGGGAAGTGTCCTTGATGGAGGGGATCAGCAGAGCCACCAGACCCTTGAGCAGTGGCAAGCGCACGTCGTAGTCCACCAGGTCCTTTATGAGTTCAATGGCTGGGGAAGGCAGAGAACCCAAGAAGCTGAGGGCCACATCTTCCCTTTGATGGCCCAGTACTGTGCCAGGCCTGCGGCAGCTGAGAAGGTAACACCCCATTCCTGCCCTCCTGGAGTTTGTGATAGAAGAGGAGGTGGAGAGCTGACATTAATTCCATTGTTCAGGGGCCTGAGACAGGAGAGCTGCAATTTCCAGTCTAGCCTGGGTGACTTTGTGACTTAGGTTGACCGTGCTTACCAATGAAAAATAAGAAAAGGCTGTGAATGCAGCTCTAAGTAAGGCTTTGGACTTAATGAATTCCCAGTTCCACAAAAATGGGGGACACTGGCCAGGAAGATGGCTCAGTGGCTGGGAAGATGGCTCAGTAGAATAAGCACTTGCCTGGGAAGTGCAAGGGCCTGGGTTCAATCCCCGGTTCCACAAAAAAAGGGTGGGGGGGAGACAGTGAGATTGGAGGCTCATAGTTCACAGAACTTCTTCCCCAACGGGGAAGAAGAAGGGTTGGACAGGAGCCCATGTAGCAGGTGTGAGAGCTGGAGACTGAAGCCACAAAGCAGTGGGCTGCTTTCAGCTTGGAGGAATCTAGGTTTCTTAGAAGAGAGAAAGCCAGGCATGGTGGTGCACACCTGTAATCCCAACACTTGGGAGGCTTTGGCAGGAGGATCATCACAAGTTCAAGACCAGCCTGGGCTATAAAGTGAGCTCAAAAGTGACCAAAACCCCCTCTCCAGGATCTCCTTGTGTTGCCCAGGCTGGGCTTGAACACAGGCAGGTGACATTGCAGCCAGTTGGGCTGGCTGGCTCTTTAAAGGGGAACAACATGGGAAAGAGCAAGGGGTGGGCAGCAAAAGGATTGGCTGTACAGCAGCAAATGAGAATCAGAGGAAGCAAGGTGGAGCTTTGTGGACTGCCCAAGAGCAGCCCTCAGTGAGGCAGGTGCCACACAGTGGCCTGCTGACTGCACATCACAACATAGGACCAGCATTTCTGTTTTTACATTTATGGGGAGGAGGAGCAGAGAGGTTAAGTCGTTTGCCTAAGTTAAGTCTAGGAAGGTGGAAAAGGCGTAGAAGGGAAAGATGTGGTCAGGCAGACAAGGCAGGAATTTACTGGGAGGCTGTCTTGCTGGGCTTTCCTGCAGAGCCCTTCCACATACTCCTTCATTCCAGTCCTTTTTTTTTGCTGAACCGGGGATTGAACTCAGGCCCTTGCGCTTGCCAGGGAAGCGCTTATTCTACTGAGCCATCTCCCCAGCCCCTTCATTCCAGTCTTTACTCTGTGTTTTGTAAACTGCCTTGAATGCCAGGGGCTGCACCAGCTGCTGGGGATACCAGGTGAATTCATTCACTCAGCCAACTGTCCTTAGTATGCACAGACAGCAGTGACAACATGGTGACATGTGTGATAAAAGGGGCCTGGGGAGGGGCTGTGGGAGTATTTGGGGAGATAGAGGAGAGCTGGGTGATTTTTGTGAGGAAGAGAAAGAAAGAACAGAGAGGTAGAGCTAGAAGGGGCAGGATGAGGTGCAAGCCCTGCTTGGTTCGCCAGCAGTATAAAAGGTGACTCTGAACCCAAGTGTCTGCTGCACAGATGGCAGGACCTGGACACACAATGCCCTGCTCAGGAGCCAAGTACAGCTTGGTTCTCCCTATTTATTCCTAGAAGAGACAGCGTTCAGGGAAAGCCGTTGGCTCATTGCATCCCAATTGGCATTATTACCAGAATTATATTTGCATAACAATAATTAACCTTCTGTTTCTTTGTCAGAGGATTTTATCTACTAAGAGTGTGTTTGGGACAATGACCTACAGCGGCATAGTGGCTGCTTCAGTTGCACACATACAATTGAAGAAAAGCTTTCACCGGCAGACACAAAAGCACCTCAAGAACCTAGCAAGATAGGCTCGACAGTTTGAGACGGGGCTTCTGGGTGGTGAGTGAACCTGGACTGCTCAGTACTCATCCGGTGACAGCTCCACAGATGCGCTTCCAGGCACGCTGCTGCACCGAGGTGGAAGAGGCGGGGCGCAGGACGCCTGGCTGGCTGGGGACTTGGCGGGCTGGGGACGGCTCTCTCCCTGCCCCCTGCCTTGATCGCTGCTTCCTGGCTGCCGCCCCCAGGCAGCTTTCCTCTGTTGCGCTGTTTCTGCTTTGGAAACAGCTGAATAGGGACCCACACCATAAGCCAAACTAAACTTGTCTTTTTTTTTTTTTTTAAACTTTTTAAAAACAAAACATTTATTTATTTATTTGGTACAGGGTCTCGCTGTGCAGCTTGGATTCACAATGATCCTCCTGTCTCAGCCTTCCCAGCACTGGGATTACAGGTGTGGACCACCATGCCTATGAACCTGCCTTTCAAGTTGTTGATGATGGGATTTTGTTCCAAGGGCAGAAAAGCTGACTAATACAGGGGCCAAATATTTTTGAGGCCTTGCTTAAGGAGAATTAGTTCTCCAGGCTTGTTCAAGGCAGTTATTTGGCTTATCCAGGCACAAGAAGTTCAATAATGAGATATATAATTAATGTTTCTTCTTAAAAGCATAAGTCGAGAAAAAATGTTTTTTTTCTTTCCTCTGCAGTACTTATCTCTGCCCTTACCCTGAATTAGCTTTTTTAAAAAATTATTTATTTTTTTTCATAATTTTATTGAGAAACAAATAGCAATGAAACAGTTTCAAATCAAATTGGTAGGACAGTTTCAATAATTAACACATTGCATACATTCTTCCCAGTGGTTAACTGCTGTACAAGATGCGGACATG